TAATGGATTTCACGAGGAAATTGTTGGTAAGTGTTTTTAAGAAAGTAGCTCTCCCTTCGAACTATTTATAACAACGATGTTTCCTACTTCCTCGTATTTCTTTCTTCTCCTTCTTTTCTCGACTTCGAACACCGGAGATTCTTCTAAACTAAACTGCTTCCTTCTCGTTCAACTTCCCGAAGGAACTGTGTAATAACGTAAAAAGTGTCGGATGCGACGAGAGTATGGTAGGAAGAATAATTATCGAGCAAGAAGATAATTATTTTGATCTAGGATGGGATCGCGCTATAAATAATAATCGCGTTCGCGTTCTTTCTATCGATCGTCAAGATAGTAAAGTCTGATGAAATAAAATGACTAACAATATGTACGTTCTTCCGTTAAAAAATTGTTGTTCGTTGCATCAGACGGATGAAAAGTGAGTGATCCTCTTTTCGAAAATTTGACCAATCGCGAGTGATCGTTCTACTGGTTAACTGACCACATCGAACGCGTTATCAAGTGACGAAAGGGTTACGTAAACTACCGAAAGCCGCGAAGTTCGTGGAAGGGGTAGATAAGAGAACGAAAGGCAGCATTCGAAGTTACAATTGCGAGACAGGTAGCCAGTAGTTGTTGGTCGAGTGATAAAAACGAGTGGGACAATTCTTCACTGTTGCCGGGCATAGTTAGGAGAAAAGCACCGGTGCGAAGTAGCAAATACAGCGAGATATAATTCAGTGACCACCGTAGAGAAACTATTTTCTCTATTTTCTGCTTCGTTGTATATACGGTCAACGATGATCCGCGAGTAAAATAAAAATAGAAAGAAAAGCGATTGCTGGCTTGGTTTAAAGTCAACGAACGTTGATAATTCTGCGGAAGAGAGTCTGATTTAAAATAACTACACAAGTGAACTGATGCTTCTTGTGCCGCATATTGAAAGGTATATTTAAAGTGTTAAAAATATCGTCGACTGAGTTTTCTCCTCGCGAAAAAGTAGTTTTCTTGATCTACCTGGGAGATTTAAAAAAACCGTGAAGCTCTAAAAGAAGGTGAAACGCTCGATCGATCCTTCGGCTCTATTTGCAATTTGCTATTTTCACGCGAGATCGATGAGCGAACGATCCGTGCATCAAAATCTATCTTGTTTAATGATACACGAAAGCGAGCGGAAGGGCTGTTCTGATGATTAAACGACCTCGAACCTTCCGCCTAACGCCTGCTCAAGCTGCCTTACGATGCGTGAAAAAATGATAGAGAAACCGTGGCTGAGAAAACGCTGTTACACACTACTGTCTGTGTGAACGGTTCGCTAGTCGTTCGTGTATACGCTACCCTTCGTGAAATAAATTCGTTTGAATCGCTATTGGTTGCGTAGGTACGAAAGATTCTTAAGTGGTGTGAAATGACTTTTCGAGAATTTTGTTATGGTATCAAGGGAGAAAGAGAGAGAGAGTCTATAAGTAATTTCGTTTCCAGTGCAGTCGTTTGTTTGTTCAATTACAACATTAAACAAACAAGAAAAGCAGCAAGTCCATTAAAGAAATAAGCAAAGTTTACAGAAACACGGTAAATATTAAAGAACGTCAATGTTGACTTAACGAGTTCGGTAGAAGTAATTTTAAGTTCTCGGTTAAACGTCAAAGTAGAGGGTCTTTAAATTGAACGCGGCCGAGCTATATACATTCTCGTAGGCTATAGTTCGTAATAATGAGAATAAAGCGACTCGTAGTGTGAAGTTTATAGGGTTATCTATTAATCACTACTATTTCATGTTCTTCGTTCACTAAAAATCCTAGGAAATTATTAATTCCATTGTGTACAGAGTGTTCCGAAACACATTTGTAGCCATAATTTCAGTACTAAGATGGAGTTAGAAAAATAACAATCTATAACTCACCAAACAAGATAAAAAACTAGACGAGCAAAATTCACACCTCGAATTCAACCCTGAAATAACGTCCATCTACTTTGTCGCGCCCTGTACACCTATTACGATCGCAAAACTCAACGATTCTCCTGTAAAAGGTGTCATATTCCGTGAACTCGACCAGCGAAATAGCACGGTAGTGCCGTGAAATCGCGTCAAAGCAGCGAAGAACATCAAGTTAGACTTAATTACAACGTCCCCGACGCGGTAATGGAGGGGCGCGCGCGAGAAAACAGGGTTCCTGCCTCGAAATCCACTCTCTCGTTTCAGCGAATTAATTAAACGTTTCCCGTTTGGCCAGTGGAGAAAGAAACAGCGGGCAGATCGCTCGTACGTTGATTTTGATAAGCTCGAAAACGCTCTCGCCGAGGCAAGCGGTTAATCCTCTCGACCGGTCATTTGTCTCTCGAAAGTGTTAAACACCGGCCGCATCCGAATTGCAAATTCGTGATAATGGAAGACGTGCTGGCGAATATAAACTAGCTCTGGCCGGTGCACGCGAAGCTTGCGTTTCTTCAACACCGGACAAAGTCTGTTGCGTTACGAGCATAGCACTGAACCGGAATCGTGTATGCTTTGTGCTCGAAACCTGGGTGAAATGGTTTTCCACGTGTACAGAGTGTCCCTGGTTTTTTTTTTCTGCCAAACTCTGTGCCAGCATTTGTTCTCGTGCTGCACAAGTTCGGATGTTATTTCAAGCTTTTGTTGTAACTTTTATAATGAAACATTTCCGAGTTTACGATTATTTTGGGGGGATTTTTGACCGTGGAATGAACAGTTCGATAAGAAAAACCTGGGACACCCTGTGTTTTTATATGTAAATTTAGCAGGTTCGAAAAAGAGCCACTATCGTTTTTCCTGTCGGACGTGAGTGATGAAATATAGGTCACTCTGTAACGATAATTTTATTCATCGAAATCGTTTCCCTCTCGCGATCCCGCAGTTTTCATCAATGAGACGGGGAATCGCCGATTCTCAGAGATCCTGCGGTATGATTATACCGAACGAGGGTGGTAATCGATTGGTAAAACATCGGACAAACATGGTACATGTGGGCGGACCAAAGTTTCCGAGTGATTTGTAAAGTTAAGGAACAGAGAGGCAAATAAAAGAACCTACCGACTGTGCTACCCTTATTTGTCCAAGTTTCTTCTAAGCTCGATAGCTAATATATCCGATAGAATAGTTGGAAACGGAAACGTCTACCCAGAAAATACGATAACGATGATCACTATTTAGATCCACTTTGTGAACACTACATGGCGACGTACAGTTAGTTCCAAAAACATTCGGACAAAAACATGTGACAGTGTAATACGTAAAAAGTTTCGAATCACTGTGCGTTGCAAGTTACTCAAAAATTTCCAGAAAAAAGTTAGCAATTTGAAAAATTATTTAACGAATTCTTTTTCAACGGTTTCTACATTAATTTTAAATTCATAAAAAATTAACAATAGATTCGATATTGATGAAAATTACTAGGTAATCCCAAATTTTTGGCCAATGGTGTATTTATCGAAATTATGTCCAATTAATATTTTTAAAAAAATATTTTGCCTACACTACGTTTGATGCTTGTCAGCGTCCGGCTATTTTTGAGAATGACTGTACATTTCACCGTAATTACCCCACGACACACAGAGCGCGATGTTAATTATCACCGAGTCGAAATTGGCGAGTATGATTCATAATAACATAAACCGTAATCATTGCAAGTAGTGTAATTACCGGTATCTAGAAACTCGTTCTCCGGAGATATGCAATGTGTGTTCTGTAAACGCGATAAATGTACTCTTGTATCTGCAACTGTTGCGCGTAATCGCCCTCCGTTTTCTGATTTATCGAGCAAACCACCCGTTATACAGACACCGAAAACCGTTCCGTAACCGGAGGTAATCTCGACAGACTACGGATGTTTGTTTTCAGGAAGTTCCATGGGCAAAGGTGAAGTCGTGCAAGTCGTAAAAGTGGCGGCTGAATGGTGAGAGAAGGAAACGGGCCAAGGTTGTACCGTTACCCCGAAATCGAGTAATTTCCGGCTCCTGTCCTTCGAACAGTAACGTCGTTTGGTACTCGATGCTGATTTCGCGACGAATTTATCGCCGCTGCTTAAATCACTCGATTTGAAGCAGCGAAGGTTCTTTTTTTCCGACGGCGGATGTCGAACTTTTACTATGGCACCGGACGATTCCTGCGATAACACCAAAGGTCAGTAGATTTCATCATTGCTATTTTATGGAAGGTAAAGAACTTCTCGTTGTCGAGTGTGTCACGTTTGGGAAATAAAGATAAGGGTTATCGATACATTTGCGTCGAGTGATTTTCACTTGAACGGTATACGGTAGATTTCCGTGGATTCTTAAATAGAATTAAACGGACGAGATCAGAATGCGTTGTTCACGTTTAAATACATCGAACGAGTGCAGAAACAGCACAAATCGCGTATATACATATGGTAAAATGTTGTTTTAACAGATTCAGTGCCAACAGAAGATCGATAACATGCTGGGCGATATATTCTAGACCGCAGATGCTGCGTCGGTGGCAGCGTTAATTGACTTAAGAGGATTAAATAATAAATTTACGACGATTCTCAGTTTCAGATTACAATTTTATATACGATTTGGTAAATTTATATTAAAATAAAGTATTCTCGTATTTATTTTGCATAATTCATATCGTTCAGTGCAGAAGTCACAAAACTCAAAATAAAAATATCATCGTCACTACAATCGACAAATAAAATTATATTTTCATTTCTTACATATTTCATAAAAATTTGTCCTTTTTGAAAAGTTTCTCACTTATCTCGAAGTAAAATAAGAACGTTTAACAGATATTTAACCAATGTCACTTTCGAATCATCGATAAACCAAGAATCGACAACATTTGCAGGACGCTTCCGCGTCACGTGGCACATGGAAGAAACGAGGTTATCACCAATCAATTAACGTTTCCTCGAAATTTCCATCGGGCTAGCCTGACGGATGCGTCATGTCGTCCTACGAGGGACACGTTTACGAGCGGAATCTTACTTGAAGACGCAGATCCGAGGGGAGACTCGCGGATTCGAAGCTTCTAAATTACAATGTCAACGCCCGCCACCGACTCGTTGCCGTCCACCGTTTCCGGGGAATTGACGACCGCTCTTATACCTACGGTTACCAAGATCGATACTCGACTGGACGTCAATCCCATTTCGGTGGTTTTGGCGGTGTCGATAGTCTGCATTTTATCGCCGATCACCATCACTGGAAACTCCATTATCTTGGCTGCCTTCTATAGGTACAAGAGGCTGCGAACTGCATCCAATTACCTGCTGGTCTCTTTGGCCATCAGTGACTTTGGGGTGAGTGTTTAAGTAGCTTTACTAGACGACAAGCAAGAGGCGAAATGGGCAACCGTGTATTAATTAAATTCGGTTTTTCCTCGTTTTTCTTTTGCTTCTTTCAATAGTAAGTAATTACGAGGGTAATTCGATAATTATCCGGAACGTATTTGCAAGATTCGTTAAATTATCAATAGGTGTACGTTTCTGCATTATTTTTCGATGTAATCCCTTCGATTTTTAAGAGGCTTAAAAATATTTTAATTGAGAAATAAACGAAGTATGAACTGCTTCCTTCGGTAGCTCATCGATGGAAAATCTTGGGGCTTTCAAAGCTGTTCCAAGTGATCCAAACTACGGTGATAATCTAAAGGGACAAAGTTAGGACTATAGAACTGAAAACGCAGTTTCTCGAGAGTTTCAACAGTTAGTTTAGCAGAACTATTCCATTTGTCCATCAGAATGTCTGCAAAACAAAAGATCCGAATGAGCTATTGAACTAAAATGTCGAATGGACAGCAGAGAAAATGAGTGACATTTAACAATCTAAGCACAACTGACATTGTAATCTCGGTAAAAATTTCTAGCCTTATTCCGGATAATTGTTCACTCACCCTCGCGATATCGAAGTTCTATTATACGAAAAATTGGAAGCTGAAAAATTGTTATCACATTCATCAATATCAGGCGGGCAGTTCTATCAGAATTCGTCTCGAAGCTGATATCTACGCTGAAGTGGCCCATTGTTCCTCGAGATTGATCGTCTAACAGGATATTTTAATTAGTCAGCTAATCAATCAAAAAAGCGAGAGGAGGGTCCCCGTAAATGCTATTCGCGCGATAGTCCTTCTGTCGCGATTGATGTTGACACGCTTCACTCGAGATGTATAAAGCTGCTCCAAATTAATCGATCAAACCGGTACCTACGTATACATTTTACGAGCAATAACCACAAATAGTACATGCGGTATAGTAAATCCATTGTACACAAAGAATACATATATCTTAGTCGTTATTTGTTATTAAACAGAGTGTCTCATTTGTAACGAACAGATACATTATTTCTACTGGTATCGAAAATAAAAGAAAATTTCTTTCTATCTGTAAGAATACATCTGCATACTAACATCTGTTGTTTACAATGCAAAATTATAATCGACATCAAGGCAAACACCACGACCTATGACCTATATGAAAAAAAATGTCAATGATTTTAGAATGAACTTCATTCAAGATGACTTCGGGGAAATTTTTGTTTACTCTCAATACCAGCGGAAATGACTCAGATGTTCGTTATAAATAAGACACCCTGTAGATACTTACGGAGAAATTCCGTAATTAAACCCGTATTAATACACTGCCTTTCCTTACACAGCCAATCATAAACAGTTTGATCGTTTAATCAAGAACCGTTCCACCTTATATAAGTGCTCTGCAACAACCTAATTACCCAAAGCGAACAGCACATAATCGTTCCGCTCCGATACACATCTCGCGAACCGATCTCTCCTCCTTCACAAGATGCTCGCTAGATTTCCCTTGTAAATATCACTTTGTGTCCTGCTTAATTTCACGATCCGCACCATCTGCAACATCTGGCCGGTAACGTAACTCTCTCTCCGGGCGAACTTTCAAACGCACCCCGCTATCACGAAGCTTTCATTTGGCCGCGTGTCTGTTTTCTTTATTGCGGAAGTTTCGCGATGGTCGCTTTTGTTTGGAGAAGCCCCAAAGTGCACACGCAAAATTCCTGTATTACTTTCACGCAGGTCGGGGTGTTCATGCCCTTTGGTATGCAGCTGGAGCTGTCCGGTCTACCGGAAAATGGCGTTTCCACGTTGTGCATTATCCCGTACTGCGTTGTGATCGCGTTATGCAGCGTGAGCGTGCTGGTCACCGTGGCGATCGCTGTTGACCGGTTGACATCGTTGGCACAACCGTTGCGCTACAAGAACATCATCACCCACAGCAGCATCGAGAAGTACATTGTCGTGTTCTGGATCTATGCGATAGCCGTAGGCCTCTCGCCTTTGATCTACGCCGAAATTACGGGGGAGACCCAACCGCACAGGTGAGGGAGAGCTTATTCGTGTTGTAAAATGGTGTAGCGACGAGTAAACCGTGAATTATTGTGTAATTATATGGGGTTGAATTGTTCGGAAGGTTCGTTGGGAAATTTAAGGAAATTCTAATCGACCTGTACACTACCGTTCATAAGTATTGGAACATTTACTGGATGTGTAGCAAATTTAAGTAGCCGTTACGAAATTATTAAGATTGTAAAAGAATTAATTATATATTTTTCACTTTGGTGGAGAAATGTAATTTAAATCGTGTGATACTTTCTGTACAAACGTAATGGGTATCCTGATATTTATGAACATCGGTGTATCTCTGAACCTAATTGAGAAGGGTATTTTACTAATTATCTGAAGACGAATCCAGTGCACATTGAAAATATAATTTGAAAAAAATCTAATGTCATCACAAAATCGTATCAACTATGACAAAACTAATTTTTATCTACTAATAATGAAAATGATTGAGATTGTCACGTTATGCGATGCACCCTGTGTCATTGTCAGAGTTGAAAGAAGAGATTTCCAATTAGAAATAATAGAAAAATTAAGAGATTGCATATACCTAATGAGGTAAAAAGAATTAACAGCTGCTAATGAAATTTATCCTTCGTTTCCCTTTCCTGCAATTACTTTAATTGCTAAATTCCCTGGAATCAGATGCTTTCCCGCGATAATAGGAGCGTTCAATTTAAAGACACACCTTGCAACGAAGTTCTCCCGATTCCGCGCGATAGCTGAAATCCATTCGACAAATATTTGGAAAATTGTTAAAATCAAATTGCCTACTAGTCACGTTCACCAAACAAGTTCCAAACGAACGAACGGGAAGAACAGAACTGGGCAACACAATCATGCGTTCCAATCAAGATTGTATCATCTTTTTCTTTTTTAACGTTTTGCATGCACTGTAGGAAAAACACTACGAAGCAAATTTCATTCCTGTAAACAAACGCTACCAATTTTTCCTTCCTTTCACTCGTTTCACCGAAACGTGAAGAAACCTCTATTCCGTATTTTTCTGCGTTTTCCATTTTCTGCTACTAGAATTTGCAACGAAAAAATCGGAAAAAATTCCCCAACACATGTCTCCATATATACAATGTGCTAGACTTTTTTTTAAATTTTTGCATACCGCTAAATATATACTAAAAGTAATCCAAATTTTCCCTGTAACTACCCCTCCAGTCGAGATAAAGGGTTGAAACTTGGTATGAAATGTTTTGCTTTCAGCAAGCTATCGAATGGTCTATCGCAGAACCAGGATTTGGTTTAAAGGCATTTTTAACCACTTTATTCTGCTACACCCTTTCTGCTCCACTCGTTCTCGCGTGTTTGTACGATTTACTATTACACAAACTCGCGCGTAAAAGTGGATGTAAATCAGTACGAGAGTACAAAGTGCCGCGTAAATTACACATCAGAACAAATTACTGGTTAATCCGTATTTATCATTCTCCACTTTTTTACCGTGGAAATTCGTTCGAATCGGCAATTGAACTATGGCTACGCGACCGCGCTATAATAGGATTACTATGCAGAACACGGGGGAACAATATTGCCAGGATTTCGCACTGAAAGTTACATAGTCGAGTATAGTTCGCGTATAGTTATCCAATCGGTATAAAATGACGTTGCTTTGACCTCGACACGTGCCACGATTGCATTTCAGCAACACACATGATCTAATCTCTTTGTATCCATTAAATATCGTATTAAATGTATCCGTAACCTTCATGTAACTTTATCCTTTTTCACAAGTGAAAACACACAATTATCAAATACTCGTACAATGACAGAAAATATTACGTTCCATTGAATTCAACACCTTTCGAATAAATAGAACAAGTGGAATATACAAAATCACAGAGAATATTTCACCAGTACTCTCCGCTTAAATCTCGATGACGATTTGATAGAGGCGATTCGTAGAATTCGATGGTAATAACCCTCGAGTCGTAAAAATTGGAAAGTGCATTTCCTAAATCGTGAAACGCGATAACGTGCAATTTCGAAATAGTAAAACACGAGTGTTACTCACCGTGCTACGAATTTTATGTCGTACGAATCAATAGTTAGATTCAAAGAATACACATTCTTCTTGATTCTCCAATAAGAAACTTCTAAAACACTGTACGCGACTTCCTGATCGATACAGTGTGTTCAGAACAGCGTGATTTGGCTGTTAAATAAATTTTTCATTCACTCCTTTGCCAAAGAGCACAGTGAAAACAGTGCATTTCAAAAATATAATAATATTTTAATAAAAAACATACTCTAGGAATGGAAGATCTGACTTAAAAGTACAGACTCCAAACAATAACCTAGTATTTCGAGAATATTTCACAAACAAACATAACAATCCACCAAAAATCGTTATCTTAACTCATTCCCATATCTCTTATCCACACACACACACATCTGGTATTTACTACAACCTAATCCCTCCAACAACCAATTAACTAAAATCAATCCCAAACACTTCACTCCCCCGCCAGCATTCTCCACTGTTCGCAAATCCTTCGGAAGCACCTAACCCTAATAGAAATCATCTGGCACACGTACGACTCAAACGATGAAGAGCCGCGCGTGCATCTAGGGGAAATCGACTTAATTAGACGATATTGATATCGCCGCGGTTACACAACGAAAATCGAGCAAGTAACGAGCGAAACTAATTTGCTTTCTGTCACAGTGGCAACTGCAGGTTCGGGGCGGCTGTGCTCCCTCCAGTGAGGGTGTTCCTGGTTGTGGCAGTATGGGCGCCGAGCGCCCTCGTCCTCCTCGGCTGCTATATGTACGTGTACCTGGTGGCACGTGCACACGCACGTGCGATTTACACGGTGGAGTTGTCGTTCAGGCATCAGACACAGACATTGGCGTTACCGCGTTACGGTCAAACATTGGCAGTCACGGTCGGCGCGTTTCTCATCCTATGGCTTCCGTTTCAGGTGCGTGGATGGTCTTGTACAGAACGTACACGACCACTCTATAAATCTCCATTTACGATAAAGTCCTACGGACAAGGGCACGGTGTAAATTCTTACGGATTAGCGGCCTGTTCCGCACTACGTTGCGTTCCGGCTGACTATTATTACGGTCGCACTACTTGCGCCGCGACACACGCGACATCAATTCTACTTTGTCAGGAACACACGCTCGTCGCGATCTCTCGGATGCGAAATTTAAGAGTGACACGGTGTGTGTGTGTGTGTGTGTGTGTGTGTGTTGATATCGAGTGTACACGCGTTTGGATTGTTTTATTCTACCACCCTTTCGAGACACGCTTGTGAGTGTTAGGACACCTTAATTCTAATAGATGCTTGAAAAAAATTATGAAATCATTAAAGAATTTTATTAAATTTTATATATTCTGTTTTGTACCATATTAGAAAATATGTTTTACCAATAATCCATTAAATATCCCGCCAAAAACATTAAAAAATAATTACATTTTTGGTTAAACAAATATTGTTCCATTCTACTTCTAAAAATTTCCAGTAACGCTTTTCCAATTTGACACACACTTTTCGAATTTTTCCAGCTAAATAATCTCAGAGGTTTTTCTACATGGTTGAAGCGTTGCAACAGGAAAAAGGAGATATTTCATAATCCTGTATCGCGAAAGCTTCGAAAAGGTGTAATTGAAGAACTTTTCTTTTACTGTGTTTCGCCGTGTTGTGCAATTTCTGATTAGTTCGCTAGTTGGCTATTTGTTTGGTTACGTAATTGCAATTTTAATAGCGACTAGCTTTTGATCGCTCGCGAAGAACGATAATTTCCAATTAGAACGCTTAACGAGTAGTTTACTCGGCATAAAGGTCGACACTGTGTTGCCTATAAGCTGGGGGGCCATTCGCGTGGTAACTACGTACACGTGGGATGTAAAAAAAAAATTTAATAAGCACTACACGGCGTCGAACGCCGCGTGATACGAAAAGCGGAAGTTCTGAAACGAGATCGCCAGTTTTAAAACTAATACGGCGAAGTTTCGAGCATACGCGAGCACAGTGAAGCTGCCGTGGGGACGTAAATCATCCACGGTAAACGACTAAAATTACATCCACGATAATAATAAAAGAACAATAGCGACGGTGATAAAAGAAATATGCTGCGATACTTGTTGCTCTCCTTAAAACGTTTCGAAAGAGTTATCATCGACAGAAACGAAACGACACTTTTACCGAGTGCAACGTGAAACACTGCGTTTAACAGTGTGATTCTTTTCAAAACCAATATCCAAGCTGTAATTTCGTTCGGTTCATTTCACAGTGAAAATGTAAACGAGAAACTTCACCGTTTATTTTCAAATGAAATAGTTTTATCCTTCTCTTCTGCGCGTGCAGTTTCATTTCATTCGGAAATCTGTTAAAATTTCACTATTTTCTACTTTGACTTTTAGAAGGAAGTAGTTTTCATATATCAAATTTCTTTGTTCGTTTAATTTGGAAATTTTTGAAATTCGATATTTTCGAGATCCGGAAAAAGAGACGAGTGACGAAGGTTTTTATTGAAAAGACTGGTAAAAACTATGTTCTTTCTAAAACTGACCGATTGATGCCCGCGCAAATCGACGTGGTAATGGGGTTTTCCTGACGAGTCGGTCTCCATCCCGGCGAGCAAAAGTTTCGCGGAACAGAAGGGTGAAAAACGACGTAACTTTCGAAATTGTGGCGGCGAAGAAGTTGTGGAAACGGGCGCTCGCCAACCGCGAGATAAAAAGAAGCTCAGCTCCGTGGGAAAATTGCGGCAAAGTGTTCCAACTTTCTCCCTTTTTACCATCGCGAAGAAAAAAAAGCAACGAAAAGAAAAGAGCCACCAGCACGACGACAATTACAAACAATTTCATTGTACGGCAAAACAAACGTACACGGGTAACACGATTCCGTAAGATTGCAAGGAGAACGGTATCGTGACAAATTAATTGAATGAACCTTATCCCCGTCTGAATTTCCACGCAATTTCACTGCGTCTCGTGTCGTTTAATTCGCGACAAAGAATCACGTTCGCCTGTGCTTGCCGATTGTATTGAATAAACAAAGAATTTTGCTGTACATGTCACTCGTGACGACGAAAAAAGAAGTCTTCTGTTTAACATTTATATCGCGAAACTTTAAATTACGCTCGTCAGTCGGTAAAATATTCATTGATATAGAGAATCTTGGTCGGTGAAAATCTGCGTTCGCATTAGTCGTGCTTATTCGGTGGTTAATTCGTCGATATCACGTCGAAAAAACTTTGCACCATGAAGATTTCTTTTGTTTTTGTTTTTTTTTGGTAGAAAAATTAAGAAACGAAAATTCTTACTATCGGATTCAATTATCTATGTTATACAAAGCACGTAGAGCTTTATACGACTCTTTATATTCTACGAGAGACCGAGGACCATCGAATGCCAAATGCACGTATAGATTTCGGTTTCCTGCACGTTCCACGAACTTTCATTAATAGGGGTCAAGACAAATAGCCCACGTTTTAGAGTGCACGTTACAGAGATGCATACACATAACGATGTACTTCCACCGAGTTGTTCATGGTACTTTGGTATTACACTCACCTACGTGGATGAACCGAACGAAAACGTAGATATTTGCAAAGATAGACAACCTAACTTTCTGGCATTTCCTTTTCCCCGCGATATTTTCCTCCTTTGAGACTTTATTAAAATTTGCATTCTTTTTTTATAACCCCTGTAAACTCTAGAAACCTCGGTATGCCGAACAGTAAAAACAGAAATTACCATATAAATTGTTAAGATTTCCAAGCTGGGGAGGGAGGGAGGGAGGTAATAAAGTTTTGGAACAAACTGTTCCAAACAATTTCCACTCCTTCCTGTTCCAAGAGCCTTCGTAACAACGCGAAGCTTGATCTAACTTTCGTTAGATCACGCTACCCGAAGACCAAAACTGGCCAAACTGAAAAGTCTCTCCTTAACACGAAGTGAATTTGCTTTACAGACCTGCATGCTGCTGGATATTTTCTGCGGCACCAACATCCTCAGCGAATGGGCCGTCGTGTGGCTTGGGCTGCCTATCATGGCTCATAGCGGCGTGAACCCGTGGATTTACGCTTTTCATCACGGTGAGATGAGGATTGCAGCTGGGAAGATCACCGAGAAGTTGGTTGCTCTGTTCGGTGTGACACCCAGCCGCTATGGTTGCTCGCCGATGAGACGAGGTTCCCACACGAACATGGAATTAGCAGAGGTGAACAACAGCAACGACGAAAGACGGCATCCTGTCGAGGATTGTTTCGCAGTGAAGCAAAACAGCACACTGTACACCAGCAGACGGTGTCTGGATTTATCAGGCAGGCACACAGACATCTCTCCGGAGAGGAACATCGATCACACGTCTTCTGGAAGCAGGCACGGTGACATCGTTGAAGAAGACATTCACGATCTGACGAAGATGCTCGATTTGAAGTACATCATCGATCGTAACCATATGATCGACTCGAATCACAACATCGACAAGATTAAGAACCTCAAATACCTGCTGGATCCGACGTTCAACAAGATCAGACACCTGAGCAGATTGAACCACAAGAGGCTCACCAGTAAGAACTTCTCGAAAGCGTCGGAACCGAAGTTCACCTCGTATCAGAATTTAAAGAGCGACAGTACTCTGAACCGTAAAGTACTGCAGATGAACACCATGTCGGATCCAGTGTTGAGCGCCGACAGTCCAATGGTGCACGCGAAAGACTTTCACGACGGTTTGAGTCCTATGAACTGCAAGAGAAGAAACTCAACCCTGTGCTCGATGTCGGATCCTAATATCAAAGCTGCGACTGGACTGTCTTCCGAGGTGAATCTTCGACTTCCGAGCAGCGGGAACGTGATCGAGGCACATAGATACTCTGTACAGAACTTGGATCACAACAGATGCGACGGAGGATTGGCTAGGCACGTTATGCTGTCTCAACAGTTGGAAAATCAGAAACGAAATCAGGTCTATCCACGTCCAAGAGTGAAGATTAACAACTTAGATCGAACCAGTCCAACCTTGAATTTGAGATTCCAAAATAGTTACACCTCGCCATCCACGCCAGATAGCACGAGATCGAGTTTGCTGGAGAGTCCGAGGCAGAAGACGTCTCCGAAGCATCTGATGACAATTACCTCGAACAAGTTAGCTAATTTCGCTCATTCGGATAACGCGACGTCGAGAGCAACCTTGTTGCAAGTTCGAAAGAACATGGAGATACTGAAACATTCCGAATCGATCAATACCATCGAACCAATGACGCACATGAGACTGTTAGAGCCATACAAAGTGATCGAAACTCTAACTGTACCGACAATACACTCGGAACCACCGAGTCCCATAGATCCTCTTCCTCTCGCGTCTCTGGAGGAGGAAGAGTCAAGAAACTCCGAGACGACGAAACCTTCCATTAACCTGGAACGTTCGAAATCCCCAATGGGTAATAGAAGGAGTCCTGTAAGGCACTCCGATCCTGTGATACCATCCGTCTTGTTGAATATCGAAGATTACAGCGACAACCGCGAGTCAGTCAACGACAGATCTAGTCACAACAGTTCCTCGAACAATCTAGCATCGATAGAGCCTATAGATCTGTTCGAAGCGCTATTAAAGAACTCGGAGAGGTGCAGAGAGGGAAAATTACCGGAGCCAATCTTCGCAGAACACGACTCGACGAGATTCAGCTCTCGGAGACCTTCAGATTCGAAGTGGTCCGAGTCCTCTAGAAGTCAAGAGATCCTATCTAACGTGGTGAACGAGCATCAAGCGTTTCCTTCGTCTTATTCGGTGAACAACTTCCAAGTTTGCAACAGCGGTAGTGATTTAAACGACCTGACATCCCTCGATCCGTTCATGTGTCCAGACGCTTTGAGTTCGTCCTTACGCGAGTCTTTCTTCAGTGCTCCATCCGTACCTGACTCGGAGATCTTCACGTCGTTCGAGGAGAATGACGAGTCTAATCTGACACCTGAATCCGAAGGTCATCTATCCCCCTATATATCCGGCTCTACGATCAGTCTGAAGAAATCAACGATGGAGAATGATCTACAGAGCAAATCCACCGAGTTCGTGTTTCGAAACAGATGTCTATCGACGAGATCCTGCACGCTCCTTAGATTAGAGCCGTCCTTACATCGAAGCAGATTACGAGTCAGGCCGGGAACGAATTACATCCTGAAGGACACGTCGGTCAAGAAGAATCCACGCTTGGCACCGCTCGCCACGCCGACGCCCACGGAAATTTGCACGCCTACGTTCGAGCTTGTCTCGGAGATAAAAGGTGACAACGGTGTCGGTGTCAGAGTATAGATTTATAGGAAGGAAAAGGTAAAGAGAAAAAGTTTCGAAGCAGTTCGCGGAGTATAAACGATCGTTCGGGGGGTTTTTTCGCAATTTTCACTTGCGACGTAAGTAAGTACTGTTTATCGAACGAGGGATTCTGATGCGATGTAGCATGATGTTGTACAATGATACTAACGCCAACATCTGTATTTTTATAATAACTCGGCGAAGCCTCCTGGAGAAAAATTATTCTGTCTACTTGTTTTAAAAGGGGACGTGTACTGAAACGTAGGTTTATTATGAGACAAATGGGTAGTGGAACCTTCAAGTTGGACTGTGATAGTACGACGTGTCTTTAGCGGGATCATAGAACGATCTACGCGAGAGAGGAAATTCTATTGTAGTTGTTCAACGATTTGCAAATCCTTGGACTCCTTGGAGACAGAGAGAGAAAAGATGGTGGGAGAAGTTGAAATTCTTCGTTGCTTGACAATTTCAATCTCTAAACGGAAGGGAGAGATTTCAAGGATCAACGAATTCCTAATGTCGTTGTATAAATATATAGTGATTTGATTTGATATTAATGAAATTCTAAGGAGCCTCGGGATTGAAATTGGGATTATATAAAAATTTGAAATATATCTCACCATTCTCATAATTCACACACTTGATATAACTAAAAAGTTCAAAGCGTAATTACGTGGTGTCTGGTGACGAGAACAGATATCGAAGGAAATGTGCAACTGATTAAAATTAATCATCCATTGATAGAGCAAAGTCGCCGTTTCATGAAATCGTGCAAGCAACACAACAGCCTCGATTTGTATTTGTAGATATTTTCTTTTAAAGTGTACGTACTGTATCAATTGTATTTACCAGATTTTTGTCTCGCTGATCACGGGTTTACTTGGCTGGATATCTTATAGAACAGTCGCACGAACACGAGGAGAACAGATTTCAGCGTTTTCGAAACGTTAACACTGTGCCAAGCGGATTACGCAATATTCAGCGAACTGTGAACTATATTACCGTTTGTGTACCTGATTAAAGTTGATAAATAATTCACAAGACGAACAAAGTTTTCTTTTTCCCGCGAGATAATCGTAATCTCGGGGATGATTCCAAGATTCAGCAGGGAAAAGCATTTTTAACGAATGGTATTTATTGTTCATGTTACACAGCCAACGAAATCTGCCCTCTCTCTCCTAATCGTTTAAGTTCCACATCGTGAATTATACTTCTTCCATTTTCTCTTTCGCTCTAGTCACGATTTAAAAATACGATCAATCATCCTCTAAATCATATCTACGATTAATTTCATTCACAACGACCTAACGCAGATCGAGATGATGAAATTTTACTATTTACCACTGATAAACGAAAACTAAATCGACTTCATTCCGATTCTCGCGAAAAAGAAAAAAACGAAAAAATGAAAAAAGCAGCAGAAAAATAAAAATACGTTTAAACATAACCCGATTATCGGCATTCTAGAGACGAGTTTACACGAATAGCGTGAACCTCTGCAAAACAATGCTCAGAGTTGTATAGATTATTTTAGTGTATTGAAATTGTATCGATAAAAAGGGAATCGTTGTCTCGCCTGGTAACGCCGGTTAAAATGACCGCGAAAAGTGTGAAAGAGTATGGCGGTTCAAGCAAGAATCATTTTAAATCGAACGAGAGGTGTAAATTATTTAAGGAAATTGTACAGTAGAAAAGAACGTAAGGACCAAAGAATTTTCAATATAACGAACTCTGTTTAAGAAGAGTTGTCCGTCAGTCCTCGATTTTTAGTAGCCTGTAATTATATAAACGATAGAACACTTTTCAAAACATAATCGATTGTTCTGTTCTTTTGTAATATCTCGTGATAATCGTATTATGATCGTCTGGACGTTTGAATTTGATCCGTGGGGGTGGTATCTCTATCGAATTCTCTAATTTTTATATCGCGTTGCTGTAAAACTCGCTTCGCTAGTTTTCGGAGTCCTATGAAGGAAAAAAAAAAAGAAAGAAAGATGAAACTATCTCGGGACTGTGTAGATCGTCCTCTCAAACCACTCACAATGCCAATTAAATATTGAAACTACTTTTATATACACATATAAGTTCACGGGAATATTCTCTGTGAGATAAAGTTATTTTTGTCATATATCTGCGATATTTTTTAAAACAGATTCTCCTCTGCGCTCACATATACGCGTGTATGTATGTATGAATGGATGTGTGTGTGTGCGTATCATATTATTGATCGTTGAGAAATCGAAATCCCTATTTTTCAGTTTAATGAAAGATACAGATGTGTATAATAATAAAAATGTTTCGTAAACGAACTAATTTCAAAGCTAGAATATAGAACCTTCATGAAAATACATGATACACTGCTGAAAAAGCTTGGAAGAAACTTTTGCCGAAAGTAAATTTTAAGTCGCGTATTTGTATATCTAGTCATCATTTCTTTTAAATAGAATTCAATTACTTGAAACCATTAAAGAATTATTCAATGAAACGATTTTTATTGTTCGACAAGGTTTATCTGATACACGAAAAAAAACCTTCCACGCCATCATGTTCATTCGGATATTGAAAAGTGACATAAAACGCGTTATGAAAATGTACGATTCTTTATTTACCTGTAACGTTTCATTTTTTATCATAAATTATACCAAAAGACTATCGTCTAATTGTTTTTGGTAGTATACTTATAAGAGAGGTAAAAACTAACCAATAATAATATAATTTTATGATTCGTAAATTTCTTCTAATTTATTTTTACAAATACTATTTCCATCCTACGTTTTTACCGATGCATTTTTAAATATTCTTGTATGTACGAGTTTATTACACGCACTAAACTCGATATTGTATGATATGAAAACTCACTAACCTCAATATTGTACGATATGAAAAGTCTTCAAAAGTAATACATTATTTCGAGAACATTTGAATGCAAACATTTCTTTTTAATGCAATTCAAAAGAGTTTTTGAAAATAAACACTAACACTTCACTATGTTAACGACTGCAAACGATGTACAATCAATTTCTTAATTACATGTACAATAATAAAAACAGATTTCATACTTTGAATTCCTTACAGTCGATTCGTTCTACAAACTGTCGTCTTCCATTCGTATAAATCATGGAGGAATAGAAGGGCGAAAATCTTCTCTCGTTCTTGTGTACTCGTCTTTAAGTTATGGATTAACAGCGCTTTATGGTACATTTGAAATGGAGGTTCTGTACAAATAAAAGATAACATTCGTCAAAGTGAGAGGCACTGATATATTTTTATGAAGTAACATTTTATCGTTCTTTGTAGATATCGAAATATGCAAATAAAAACAGAATTATTAATTACAGATTTACGTGAAACTATTCCATGCCACTGTTTAAACGAAAAAGAATATGCGTTACTCTTGTCTACTTGTTGAGGATATAATTATATCCCATGATATCTAATTTGCCCGCCAAAACCTATGACATATACTACATGACAAAGTATGGTCAAACGATCGTTTCTATTTTCAGTAAAGATTAATTTATCGCCAATTTTCTGGAAAATGATAAGATTGTGCTAGTTCTATTTAAATTGATTACCTGTATCATATCTTTCTTTTTCTAGTAATGAATACCATTGATTTGCAATATGATATAATAACATAGAATTAAGAAGAATATGAATATGAAGTCGTATGTTTCTGTATATATGAAAAAAAATATAATATATTGACTAGACAAAACCCACTTGGAGTAATAATTTGTCCTAGAACTTATTTATCTGTCAAAATAATAAAATACTTACTAATAAACAACTAAATAATTCCGTTAGAAAACTAATGAGTGATTTAAAGGACATTGACGTTTATATGAATCTATTACCGAAAGATGACACTAGTATTTCAAATATTTTATAATATGTGCGATATCAAAGTTACTATTTTGATAGATAATTTGACAGATTATTCCAAGATGACAAAAACTATTGTACTCAGCGGATAAGTTTATCCTAATAAAGATTAACAAATTTAATAATTGTAATCACCTCAGTGTGTCTATAAAACAATACAGTTGATGAAATTTCTTACCTTGAACGTGCAAATGCGTGCGCAGAAAACATACTGTATCGAGATTAGAGAGCGACATAACCTCTTTATCTTTGTAACAGAACCACCGTAGCATATGACGCACTTTTCTCGAGGAAACCTCTGTTTGATCGTACTTAAAAATCCGAAAGAAAAGAAAAATACAGAAAAATGACAGCAGAGAAAGTAGAAATTGACACATCAACGTTAAATGGGAAAACTGATAATGAGGATATTGTAACACCTTGGGATGTAGCAAGTAACAACGAGACTGGAATTGATTATGACAAGTTAATTAGTGAGTTATACACAAAATATCTTTTATATAAAATATTGAAAATATTTGTCTCATATATGATAAAGCTATCATTGCTTTATTTTAATTTTATAGGTTATACAAACGTCATATGTTTTTAAAGAAAGCAAAGCTGAAATTTCGTCATGTAGCATGTATATTTAAATAAAACTTTTAACTTGTTACTTTGTTGTTCCAAAAGATTTTTCCTTATTATTACAGAAAGATTTGGAAGTTCAAAAATTGATGAAGAACTATTAAGTAGGTTTGAGAAAATCACAAGACAGAAACCTCATCACTTTCTTAGAAGAGGAATATTCTTTTCTCATCGAGATATGCATACTATCTTAAATATTTATGAACAAGGAAAACCTTTTTATCTTTATACTGGCAGAGGACCTAGTTCAGATTCTATACACTTAGGACATCTTATACCATTCATGTTTTGTAAATGGTTACAAGATGTATTTCATGTTCCATTGATTATTCAATTAACTGATGATGAGAAAGCAATATGGAAAAATATAAAAATAGAAGATGCAATTAAGTTGGCCTACAATAATGCAAAGGATATCATTGCCCTTGGATTTAAGCCAGAGAATACTTTTATTTTTTCTAATTTAGAACATATTGGAAATAATGCTGCATTTTACCAAAATATGATCAGAATACAAAGGAGTGTTACGTTTAATCAAGTGAAAGGTATTTTTGGATTTGGAGACAGTGATCCTATTGGAAAAATTGCATTTCCACCTACACAAGCTGCTCCAGCAATTTCTGGAAGTTTTCCCTTTATTTTTAAGAATGCAAAAGTTCACTGTTTAATACCATGTGCTATAGATCAAGATCCTTATTTTCGAATGACAAGAGATGTTGCACCAAAACTTGGTTATCCAAAGCCAGCACTACTGCATTCCATATTCTTTCCTGCCTTACAAGGCTCTAAAACAAAAATGTCTGCTAGTGATAATAATACTGCAATATTTTTAACAGACACTCCTAAGCAAATTAAAAAAAAAGTTAACAAACATGCATTCTCAGGAGGGCAAGCTACTATTGAAGAACATAGACAAATAGGAGGCAATTGTGATATTGATGTAGCATATCAGTGGTTAAGATTTTTCCTAGAGGATGATGAAAAATTAGAACAACTTAGGAAAGTAAGTTTAATAAAATTCTTTACATTCCTTAATATAAATGTATAAGTCTACAGTATAACTATATAAACACAATAAATTATTAATTTTCAGGGATATACTAGTGGAGAAATTTTAACAGGAGAACTTAAAAAAGAATTAATTGATGTTGTACAGCCTTTGGTGGCTGCACATCAACAAACTAGAAGTAAATTAACAGATGAGATAGTTAAACAATATATGGTTCCTAGAGACCTCGGTTTTATGACAAATGTAAAATAGTTAAACATGAATTGCCTACTATGTATATAAAAAACACGGAAATTCCATTTTCACCAGTTTATTTAACTTTATTTATTTTAGAAGCACAAAAGTAATTGTTTCTTTAAAAAGTTTATTTTTTAAACCATGATAGTGATAAATTAAATTGCTTTAATAAAAACACGTATTGTGTATTTATATTTATGATCCTTACTACTTATAAATTAATAAGAATTATTATTGCAATAAAAATTTGTATTTCACTTTGTATATTATATTTACATAATTTTGGTATAAAAAAATATAAACCTAAAACAAAAATATATCAGTATTATTTGACAAATGTTAAATGTTCAAATTAGTTTAAATGTATCAAGAGGATATTTCATATTGGTTACTGTTGTTAAGTTATAAGAAATATAATTTCTAATACAATACTTATAGCAAAATATTATAAAATATATTAAAAATGTTAAAAAGATAGTAGATTAAAACACGTTATTACCCGCCATTTTTATTATCGAAGATTGTATAGTAACATTTCACAAGGACTGTAATTAACATATTGTTTGTGAATAACATAAGAATAAAGTGAAATCAAAGAAGTAATCTTTGAAAAAACAATAAATGCAAAAAAATATTTATCAGAATATAGTTTGGCCAAAAAAAGTAAAGATTTCTGGAATTCACATATAACAAAGAGATATCTACACATTAATCAAATAATTAACATTGTTATGAAATATAATTTTCTTTGTACTAAATTTTCAGACGATTTTGGAACGAAACCAATAAGAATTCGTTAAAATGCATTTCAAGGAATAAGTACAGACTGACAAAATTTCGAAATTCAAACGAATTGTTTTTACTGACTATACCAATACTGATAAACGCAGTAATCAGTGACAGTACAATTTATCATCGACAAAAACTTCATGTTTTTGTTTATATGCTTGTTAGTGAGAGTTAATTCCAGTATCGCGCGCGAGTTAATTTTACTTCGGGATCCTGTATGATTGCCCAGGCTTGAGCGGAAATCGTGGGCTTTTGATTGGCGGATTGTGACGCCACGAAGCATGCTATTAATAACCGACGCATGCGCAGGAAATTGCCTAGTGTATATCCGTCATTCATGCAAGTCGATTTCGTTGGTTCTGTGTGTTGAGCCTAGCAAAAGAACATGGTGATAGTGATATGAAACAAGTCTATTAGCAATACCACGCTCTACACATATATAGTTTTGCGAAGTAACGATGATATTTGGTCACGATCTCCCTACGTAAGTTTCGCGAACATGCAGACTGAGGTATAAACTATTTTAGTCGCGAAATTTGGCACTGCCAAATAGTTTCTCATTAGAATCTGATATAGCTTACGCTCGCGAGATTTTCCATTCCTATATTCAATTAATTTACAGCATTGACGAGGCTACTGTAATGATTATATAGTGATCATAATTGCATGTAATTCGAATGTTTCCATTTACGTAAACGTTACCGTGTTTCGTTTGAACTATTTGTATGTTGAGATTATCTTGTACGTTACGTTCGGCATTAAAGCAATGTTGTGCTTTAATTACCTTTTTTCCTTGCTTGAATTAAAATTATAACTGCAATACAAAATAATTTTATGATAAAATCGTATTATAAAATGATGATCAGAAAGGAAATTCTAAGCAATGCTATAATACATACACATAGACACATACATAAGTTAAACGTGATACTGTTATTCTGCTTTTGATTTAAATGCGTATTTAAAAACAATATTCTTATGTCGTCATATCTGATTTCAGTTCATCTGATATAAAAAATGAAGAGTTTTCTATCTTTCCTATTCTTATAATTCTAGGTAAAGCTTAGAAAAGTGTTGTTTGAATGATCAGTTAAAAGATGCTGATCAAATAATATCTAAAAAATAAAAAAAAAAAAACAAGTTAACTGAGCTGATACAGCAAACATTAAATAAATACTATGGGGGCACTTTTGGATACTCCAAAAACAGATAAATACAATGAACATGGTGCTGGCAATGGGCTACGTTATGGTGTTGCCAGCATGCAAGGTTGGAGAACAGAAATGGAAGATGCTCATAGAGCAATAACTGGTTTAAAAGGTGGTCTCTCAGATTGGAGTTACTTCGCAGTATTTGATGGTCATGCTGGTGCATTAGTATCAGCTCATAGTGCAGAACACTTATTAGAATGTATAATGCAAACAGAAGAATTTAAAGCAGAAGATGTTACCAAAGGGATTCATTCTGGCTTTCTTCGACTTGATGATGAAATGAGAGAATTACCAGAAATGAGTTCTGGTAAAGAAAAATCTGGTTCTACAGCCGTTTGTGCATTTATATCTCCCAGAAACATATATATTGCTAATTGTGGCGATTCTCGGGCTGTACTTTGTCAAGCAGGAGATCCAGTTTTCTCAACACGAGACCACAAACCTGTATTACCTGCTGAAAAAGAAAGAATTCAAAATGCTGGTGGTAGTGTAATGATTCAAAGAGTTAATGGAGCTTTAGCTGTGTCTCGTGCATTGGGAGATTATGAGTACAAAAATTTGAAAGATCGAGGCCCTTGTGAACAGTTAGTGTCTCCAGAACCAGAAATATTTGTTCGAGATAGAGACGATCAACATGATGAATTTCTAGTTTTAGCATGTGATGGTATTTGGGATGTAATGAACAACGAAGAACTGTGTAATTTTATACATTCAAGGCTGCTGCTTACAGATAACTTAGAAGCAGTTACGAACCAGGTTATAGACACCTGTCTTTATAAGGTAATGATGTCTAAAGCTTTTTGTATATATTTTACAATGTGCTCCTTGCTATTAAAGGTGTGTCAATATATTTCCAGTGTTAGAAATATTGATACTGAATTTGTGGAATATATATAAGTATATTTTGAATTTTTATTTATTTCAGAATTTACCTTTTTACTTTCTGATTTATTCCAGTTTAAAATTTTCAACCACTAGTACATAATGATATGTGATATTACATTCTAAGCTTTAGATAACATACTATTTTGATCTACTATCTTATGTTTTTATCTCTTATGTCACTAACTGTGTTTATGCATTCTTTATACATTTACTGAATAACTAAAAATATACATGTGATACTAATTTTTCATATATTAAAAATGTACAATGTGTTTTATGGGTATTTCTTATATGTTTGACAAAAACAAAAATCATAAGAAATATTACTTAAATTTTAAATCTTACATATTTTATTAGAAAGTAAAGGATATGTCTATCTAGGTTTATTTTTTACAAATGCCTTCTTTGTTGCAGGGTAGCAGAGATAATATGAGTATAGTTTTGGTAACATTTCCTGCTGCTCCAAAACCAAATCCTGAAGCACAGGAAAAAGAAGCAGAGCTCGAAATGGCCATTGAAAGGAGAATCAAAGGTTCATTAACATTTCCATATACACATCAATTATATTCTCTCTGCTGCTGCATTAATACAAAGTCACAATATCACACACGTACTTAACATTCTAGTAACTCTCAAATGGAGAGTAGCACTTAATAGCATTATTTAATAATGAAATTTTAGTACAATTCAAAATACAATCATTATGGTGGCATAACATTTATAAGTACAAAAATCAACTTTGTATTTCTTACAAGTTTAATACTCAAATATTGATTCTGTTGTTTTTTATATATATATATATAAATAGGGAAATTGCTTATTTCATACGTAAAACGTAAAATGAGTAGTTTATAAAATATAACATAAATATTTCTATAAATGTCAATACATAAATATAAATATGCAGTGTCAATATTTTTATCTTTTTGACATATTATTATTTTCTATAATATAGTAATATTTTAAATGAAGTAATTATTTATTATATACTATTTATTGTGAAAATATTTTTCTAGTTAAATGCCACATATTTTACTTATATCTCTCTAATTTTTTTTATGAGAGGTATGTGTACATATATGTGTATATATACATACATGTTTCCATTAAGGAATATTGAAAATTTATTCTTATTCAATAGATGTATTTTCCTACTACATAACTTTGATCTTTAAAGAATTAAACTGTAGTATTATTTTATATCAATTCCATAATTATAATTACTGAACATAATTTAATAGGTAAAGTCTGATAAAAACAAATGCAGCACATAAATAATTGTATAAATTGTGCGTAACACTACTAAAGTAATGATCAAATTTTAATTATTGATACTCTATAATCATATTTGTGCAATATAAAAAACTTCTACAAAAAATAGCAATAAGCATTATCCAAGTAAAATGAAATTTACTTCTACAGTATCTTTCTCATATAAGACATCATATTTCATCTTTCCTCATTTTTGACATTCATACATTGTATAAATGTATAGATGTAGTTGAAACTTACATGTTTCGTAGATACTTTCTATTTGATGTGAATTCTAATTTTCTTAACATTCAACTTGTGCAATTGTATTCCATTGTATTTTTGTCAGTCTTAAAGTAATTATAATAATACGCGATAAAAATGAACAACTTGTTAAAACTATAAAGATTTGTATAGAATAATTTAATGGAATGTTCTTTATAAATTCAAAATACTTACAATATTTGTAAATCCAAAAAATATTCAGTATAACTTCAGTTTTAAGAGTTATTAAAATATTGTTAAAGCACATAGTAATGTACATTTTGTGAAACATGTTATCAGTAATGTGCTATCAGTATAGTTTACTACAGTATTATATTAGAGTATTAACAATTGCGTTTCTTATTTAAACCATTCAACAAATAGCAGGGTTATAAATATAGTAGTTATTTATATATATATATATATATACATTTATATATATAACATTAGTTTTCTCTACTGTCAAATTGTATTAATTGTTTCTCCTTTAATTAAACTCTTTTAACACCAATCATTATTTTTACTTAAAAATGCATTCCACCCTTGGAGTTGGTATTCTTTTAAACTTTTTTGTAAGTAAAATTTTTATTCAAAAGTTGTTTGTTCCTCTTTTCAAACATATTTAAGTGGTATCACAGGTAGGTGAACATTTTCTTATGAAAGTTTAGAAATATTTTACCTACTATATTTTTACTTCCTCAATAATGCATTTCTTATGGAGGAACATTGCAACAAACATATATATCTATATGTATATATATGTACATGTATTACATAAGATTATACAATTCCAATGGTGGATAAATTTAAAAAGGTAGTTAAAAACATGTTTATCTATGAATAAACATTAATAGCAATGTATCTACTTAAGACCGGATTTTATTTCTAGGATTTCCATAAGAAATGTACTAAAGCACTAACTATTCCAGTCCTAAGTAGATGCATGTTTTTATAGTAATTTTGTTATGTGTGTATCTTCTTTTCAGTAATGATGTACCATAAAAATACTAAATATATAAATGATTAAAAATTTGTAAAACATATATCAAATA